AGTGTGCCTGTGATGTAGCGGGTTCACTTCTCTCCCACTTTCCCGTTCCCGTTTCCCTGTATGCTATCGTCGGTACATGCCGTGCGAATGCCTGCCGACGGACGTTTGGAAAGACCACTTCCGGAAAGCCTTCAACAACTGCCCGTCGACATGAAGAAACTGAGGGCCAAGTTCATTTGCCAATTCCCGCACGTTAGGCTGACGCCAAGAAACTGACGGCCTACCGATTTGTCGGTTCGTGTGCCCGTTTATTGAAAGGCCTACAGAGAGCCCGACGCTGAAGATCTACAGTTGGGGAAAGCCAAGGGCGCAGAAAACCGCGGAAGTGAGAATTGGAGGCACTCGTTGGAACCGAAGATCTCAGCAAACGAACGTACGAAACTTGCGGACAAAGTGAGCCCGTCGGCGCGCAGCGTCCGAAAAAAAAGGTACCTGTGGAAGACGGTCTCTAGAGGGTTGGGAGGATGTATACTGAAGCCCCTTTCACATCCGTCCCAAAATTACAGGAGAGAGGTGGTCTCCTGTGACAATAGGTGGCCTTGGGAGGAACCTGCTGTGTAGGGGCTGTTGGGGCAATGAGCGGACCGTCGGAAGGCTGATGGGCGCCTCCCGAATGGCGTAAGCAGGTCTCTCATGACGGCACGTGGCCTTGGGAGGGGCCTGCTGTGTAGGGGCCGGTGGGGCAGTGGACAGCCCTGGTAAGGCCTGATGGGCACCTACCAAACGTTGTAACCCTCCCGACCGTTACGGCGCACACATCATTTCTGTGTGGCAGTGGGCAGGCCATGGTAAAGCCTGATGGGTCAGGCCGCCTCCGGACTGTTGCAGCCTTCCCAACCAGTGTGACACATGCATCATTTCTCCCATGTGCTGTCCTGTGCTTGGTTGTTCATCAGAACGCATGAGACCCTACATGAGCATGCATCAGCTCTCAAATCAATACACATGCACAGACATACATACACGAACACGAACACGCACACACACACACAGATAGATAGATAGTGCTGTGTAGTGTGTTGTGTGTTGTGTTGTAGTGTGCTATGTGCTGTAGTGCTGTGTAGTGTGTTGCCTGCTGTTGTGCTGTGTAGTGTGCTGTGTAGTGTGCTGTGTAGTGTGCTGTGTAGTGTGTTGTAGTGTGTTGTGTGTTGTGTGTTGTGTGTTGTGTAGTGTGCTGTAGTGCTGTGTAGTGTGTTGTGTAGTGTGTGTGTGTGTTGTATAGTGTGTTGTGTAGTGTGTGTGTGTGCTGTGTGTGTGCTGTGAGCTGTGTGTGTGAGTGTGTGTGATGTGTGCTGTGTGGTGTGTGTGTGCTGTGTGTGCTGTGTGCAGAGTGTAGTGTGCGTGTGTTGTGTGTGTGATGTGTGCTGTGTGTGTGTGTTGTGTGCTGTACAGTAACCCGTAGGGTTAGTCGTCGAAGAGGAAAGGAGCACCGCGCAAAGGCAATCCAGCAAAGAAAAGCATGGCACGCAAATAAGAACACAGTGAAGACTGCGCTGAGACCGGTTCGCACACACACACATATAATGTGTATGAGTGTGTAGGTGCGGTATTGACTCAATACTCAGCGACGCTGTGTGCTCACTGCTGTGTGCTGTGTGATGTGTAGTGTAGTGTGCTGTGTGCTGTGTAGTGTGCTGTGTGTTGTGTAGTGTGTAGTGTAATGTGTGCTGTGTAGTGTGCTGTGTTGTGTGCTATGTAGTGTGTTGTGTAGTGTGTGTGTGTGTGTGTTGTGTAGTGTGTGTGCTGTGTGTGTGTTGTGAGCTGTTTGTGTGAGTGACTGTCAAACTGTGTGCTGTGTAGTGTGTGTGTGCTGTGGGCTGAGTGTAGTGTGTGTATGTTGTGTGTGTGCTGTGTAACAAACTGCGACGCAGTATAACATTGACGCTGATAAGCCTGTAGGCAGACATTTGTGGCTGTCAAACTGCAAGAATTTGGTAGGTCTGCCCGCAGATCCGAATCGGTCACCACTGGAAAGCCAGCTGTGATCTGGCGGGGTCGGCGAGTAAATGACGAACACCGCCGACGTGGCAGAGCAGATTGTCAGCAAGACGAAGAACCCCGCAAATTAGCATCAACACGACGTCGAGAGGAAGGGGGACTAGGAGGAGGAGAGAATGAACGAGCCTGCCGACCTCCCAATATGGACAACGAAGACAAAGGAGGGGCCGGTCGTAGCCGGCGTGGGGAAGAAGAAGAAGACAAACTAGAGGGGACAAATGAGGAAGAAGAAGAAAAAGAGGTCGAAGAAGAAGAAGAAGAAGAAGAAGAAGAAGAATATATATATATATATATATATATCGTCACAAACAGATATATATATATATATTTGTTGTCCTCTTCTCCCTCTCTGCCTACAGTTTACCGGGCAGTTCTATTTGACGATATATATATATATTGTCACATAACTAC